GTTCCAGTCACTGAGGTATGGTACAAAGAGGACTATGCAATACAGGCTCCTCCTCCTCCTCCCCTCCTCCTCCTCCTCCCCTCCTCTTCCTCCCCCTCCTCCTCCTGCTCCTCCTCCTCCAGTCTCTGCCTTCCAATGGCGGTGCTTCCTCTATGCATGTGGCGGAGGATTACCCACCTGGTCGGGTTGGGGTTTACATCCCAGCACTTGTTTTCTTTGGCTCTCTCTGTCCTTTATCCTACTTTCTCTGCCTCCTTTTGGATTACACTGTCTCTTACCAGTTCCGTTTTCTCTCCATCGCTGGCTTGTGAGCCGTAACTCCTCCTTACTGCAGCATGGGCTTTAGGATTGGCCATGGTGCCTGCAGTCTGTGGGGCAACGGGCGCCACCGCCCACCCTCCCCAGGGCACGAGGTTCTCAGAGTCCTTCATGCAAGCACCATCACACATTTTTTTTAAATGTGCGCAGTACGCACCATGTCCACGATCTGTTGCTATTGTCGTAGTCAACTTGTCAACTGTCTAAAATTACACAGGGTGCCCTGTACCCACCCATGCAGTGGGTCGCCAGGTCACTGTTCCTGGCACACACAGCTGCTCTGTGTGGACCAGCTCCAGCTGGCATCCCTTCCCTGGGCCTGCAAGACGTCCCTCTGTGGTCTGTCCACTTTAACGTCTGTCCGTCGAACGCCATCCCCATATGGCCGTGGTCCCGCGCACTCTTTTCCAGACTGCCGATCTGGGCGGACACTTCTCCTAGGGTAGGGGCGGAGCTCGGGGGTAGAGCGCCTTGCCGGCGCACCGGCGGTCCTGATTGGTGAGATTCTCAGGCCTGGGGTTTGTGGTTTTCTTCAAACTTGGGAAACTCCATGCCTATTTCTTCAAGTGCTGTTTCTGTCCCTCTGGAGCTCACTACCCATGAAGCAGAACGCAGGAAGCTGTGTGTTCTTTCCTTCTGCACTGCGTCATCCGCCATTACCTGTGTAGCCCAGGTTGGCCTCAAGCTCACGGTGATCCTCCTGCCTCAGCCTCCCCTGTGCGGGGATTACAGGCATGCACCGCTAGTTTAAATTTTTCTTTCTTTCTTTCTCGGTACTGAATTGAACTCAGGGCCTCATGCTTGCCAGGCAGGCGCTGAGCTGCTGAGCTACACTCCTGGCCCCTTCAATGTCATTTTTTTTTTCATTGTCATTTTTAAGAGAACCATTTGGATCTTTTCTTTATGTCTTCCATGATTCACTTAAGTTTTCTTTTGGAAGTACTGGGGATTGAGCCCAGAGTCTTCACACTGAGGTACATACCTGGCCCCTTTTTTTATGGGAAGTCTCTTAGGGTCCCCCAATTCACTAAATTGCATAGCCTGGTAACTCAGGACCTTGCACTTGCCAGACAGGCGCTTATGCCACTGAGCTATAACCGCAGCCCCTGAGCTATATCCCCGGCCCGTGTGGCCCAGTCTTGAACTTGTAATCCTCCTGCATCAGCTTCACTTAACTTTTTAAGCACAGAGACAAAAAGCTATAAAACCCCTTAATGACTTCCATTAATTCTAACTCTGAGCGAGCCTGGGTCAGCTGTCATTGCCTCTTCCTGTCGTCATGGACCAGAGCGCCCTGCGCCCTTCCCTGCATGCCCCGCACCTCTCCCTGTGCCAGGCGCCTGGTGGATTTTGCCTTGGGGATGGTGGGGCTGGCATCCCTGGGTCCCTGCACACCTGTGCCTCTGCTCTGAACCCCGGAGCCAGGTCAGCACCCAGGCAGGCTGTTCTGTGGACACAGCTGGTGAACTGACCAGGGCTGTCCAGGCTGGCTGTGGACATGGGCTAAATGCCAGTCTTCCTGCCAGGGACGCCGCTTTCCTCACCTCCAGCTGTCCCTTTACCGGGGCTACCTGGTGGGTGCTCTCCCAGTGCGCCAGTGCTCGGCACTCCAGCAGACTCACCAGCTCCACAGCCACCAGGCACCTGACTCAGCTCCATCTCCTCTACCTCAGTTTCCCTCCCTGCACTCGGCCTCGACACTCACGCCTTGAGATGCTGGCCCTCATCACCTGCTTTCCAGCAGCAATCGAGTCTGCGCTGCCCGGTGCCCACTGGCAACAGCGCTGTCCTGCGAGTGTGAACTCTTGCGCACGCATACACAGACATGCACGCACACCTAGCTGCTTCAGGAGGGATGACAAGCCGCAGTCCAATCCCCTTTACTGTGTGGGCGGGAAGGACATCTTTCTGAAGCATGGGGCCGCTTTCTGGTCCGCAGCCAGACAGCCACTCCTCTTCAGCCACGGCTCCTGACAGTGCAGGACCACAGCGCCCCTCTGCCCTCCACCCTCTGCGTCCATTGGTGGAAGCCAGGCAGCAGGGCTGTTTGTTCCTCGCGGGACCTGCTGTGAAGCTGTCACCTTTGACCCACCTCCCGGAAGAACAGTCGGGACGCGGGTGCCAGCCCCAACCCTGCCTGCTCTCTCTCTCAGGGCTGACCACACCTGACCCAGCCCCAGTCCAGCTACACCTGGCCAGGCTCTGCCCTGCGGACAGCCCCAACCCCCAGGTACGGGCGGCTGGGCGGGGCTCAGTTCCGGGATGCACGCCCTGGGAGTGAGATCAGGGCGCGGGGGGACTCCACGGGCCAGGCTGGGAGGTGCTCCAGGCCTTGGGCAATCACCTGGCCAGGTGGCCTCCGCATCAGTCTCCTTCCAGCTCTGGGTGACAGGTGTGGGCCCCACCCAGCACATTTCAGGGCAGAAGCAAGACCCTCGCAGCACTTTCTAGAGCACTATGCACGGCCTGGACCGAGATGAGGCCCCGCATCACCGGAGAAGGGGAGGGGCAAGGGAGTGACAGAGGCAGGCAGTCCAGGAGGGCCTCCGGGAGGCGAGGCGGCCTCCTCCCACCGGCCCGTCACACCGGGGGAGGCCAGTCCCAGGAGCTGCCTGGATGCTGGCAGTGACAGTTGCCGGCCTGCCTCACCCCAGGGGAGCGCAGCTGGAACTGGGAGTGCCAAGCCCGGAGCCGCAGCTGGCGGGGCCGCTGTCGGTCCCTCCTTAGCCGCGTCGGAGCACAGCCTGCGGGCGGAGGGTCTGCGCGCGCAGCACTGGGGCCCGCTGCTGCGCTTGCGCGAGACGACGGCGCTGGAGGAGGAGGCCAGGCAGGAGCACCAGCGGGGGTGAGCCTCGCGAGGCCTGCCAGCCCCGCCCCCACCCGGTAGCCACGCCCACTGCCAAGTCGCTCCTCCCTAGCAGGTAGACCCCGCCCAGTTCACACGTCCAGGTCCCTCCTGCCCCAAGCCCCAGGGGGAACAGCTACTGGTCTGTGGTAATCAATGCATATTGCAGAAAAGGAAGGCGATAAGGTATCCCTCCCGAACAAACGATGGATGGTACCCACAGCCCCCGCAGGACTGTGCGCGGTTGCCACATACCCTGTCCCTGTGCCCCACACTAAGCCGCTGAAGCCCCCAAGCCCTCCCTGAGCCTGCACTGGCGAGGCACTAGGAGCTTTGGAAACTCTCTCAGAGGCCCGTGGGGTGCCCGGCTGCAGGGAGCGCTCTGAGCCCCCGCGGCCTAGGTCCCAGAGTGGGAGGGGCTGCTCTGCGATCAGGCAGTCAGGGGTCAGGGGTCAGGGGTCAGGGGTCAGGCGGGTGGCTCTGGAGCCTGCCCGTGAGCCTCCCTCTCAGCAGCGTCTGCATCCCAGGGGCCCCTGCGCACCAATGCTGTCCGCGCCTGTCCACACGCACCTGCAGCCTCTCATGACCTCGGCTTTCATTCCCCCAGCTGTCTGGGGCATCCAGGCCCCCAGGCCACAGGGGCTGCCTTGGTGGAGAAGACACGGCAGGCCCTCAGCAGGCTGGAGGAGGCACGGGTAGGCATGGGGTGGGCACACCCTGAAGTCCTCCCCAGCCTCGGAAGCTGCCTGGGACCCTGTGGGCCTGGGGCCGGGCCGGGGGCCAGGGGGGTGTCCGTGCCCCAAAGGAGCACGGTAGCCCTGGCCGCAGGGCAGGCTCAGCCTCCGGCTGGGCGCAGCCTCAGGCACTGGCTCGGCTTCTAGGAGCCCCAGTGTCTCAGTTGCTTTCCTCTCCTTACTGAGACAAAGTACCTAACCCCCAAAATAAGGAAGGAAAGGTTTATTTAGCTCAAGTTTGTGGAGGTTTCAGTCCACAGTCAGCTGGCTCCAAGGCGGGTGGGATATGGCCGAGGGCAGCAGTTCATGGAGGCAGAAGACAGGACAGCGACAGGAGCAGGGGGGAGGGCGAGAGGGGGAGAAGCCTCTTGTGCTCCCTTGTGTTGTGCACAGGCTACCTAGGGCGGGTGCAGCGCTCACCGCCGTAATCCCAGCACTGGACTGTGAATCAATCACAAACTCTAGAGCACCCCCATGACCGCATGAGGCTGTGGGGGTCATCCAGGCTCACACCCTAACGCTTGGTTTCACATGTGAGCACTGGTGTCCAGCTCCCAGGTCTAATGAGGGTTTAGCAAGGAACCCCCAGCTGGTGTGGTGGCACATGTCTAGAACCCCAGCACTCGGAGGCCGAGACAGCAGGGCTTCAGCAAGTTTGAGGCCAGCCTGGCCTACGCAGGGAGTTTCAGGCCAGCCTAAATTATGTAGCAAGACCCTGTCTAAAAAATTGCTTTTAAAAAAAGGAGACCCAGCAAAAGGGGGGATTGCCAGCCCCACTGTGGGTTCACAGGGAAAGAGAGCCCCAGCTTCCTCCTGCCATTCTTGGGGGAACCAGCGGCCAGAGGGCAGTGTAGGGCAAGTGGGCAGAGGATGCGTGGTGGGGAGAGGAGACTGGGGGAGCGCCGGTGCCCCTTTGCTGCTTGTCAGCGCTCTTCTTTCCCCCACGGGCTCCCTGGGTCCTTGGCCGGTGCAGAGGGAAATCCGGGGCCTGCGGAACCTGCACGGGTCGGTGTGCCTGGGCAGGCAGCAGCTGCTGCAGCAGCAGGAGGCCATAGCGCAGCGCCCACTGCCACCATTGCCGCAGGTGGGTGCTCTGCCGGGGGAACACAGGTATGGGCTGGGGACTTTCTTGGGTGAAGTGACCTGCCAGGTCCTGCAGGAGCAGACTGATCTCCAGTGGCCACGGGTGGCCCAGGGTGTGGAGGACGAAGCCTGAGGGGAGGTGGGCAACCCAGCAGGAAGGAGGAAGGAAAGGGGGCTGGCGGGACCCGGGCTCACTCCGCTCAGGTCATGGGGGGGAAGGACAGCCAGCGGGACTCTGGCTGGGGTCCTCCCTGACTCTGCTCCCTCAGCACCAGTAGCCAGCGCAAAAGAGCCGTGTGGCTGAGGGAGTCTCCCTGACATTGGGGGCTGAGGTCTTCTCTTTAGGGTGTGTGAACAGTTTCTGAAGCACCTGCCCCAGGCAGACCTGCAGCAGGAAGGAGCCCCTTCACCATCTTAGAGCTTGCTGGGGTGCCTCTGCCAGCCTTGGGTGGGGACACCCTGCTCTGAGTACCTGTCAGCAGGGTACGGCCCCTGCCAGGCAGGATGTGCCATTTCAGCTGGTCTCAGTCATGGGAGCACCCAGGGCTGCCACTTGCGCCTACTGCCTGCTTCTCTGAGTCATGCCAGGCTGCCTTCACTCTCTTTTAGAGTCCTGGCACCCAAGTCAAGGCTGCCTGGGAAGGGGCCTCTGAGACAGGCCTGCAGCTGGAGGGAGCCCCGTGTCCCCCGACACTATGCAGGCCTGGCAACCCCACCGGCCCACAAGCCCAAAGAGGTTCTGCGAGTGCAGTGGGCACATGGTGAGTCATCCAGTGGCCCAGGCCCTTGCTTGTGACCCTTTGCCCTGTGCTCTCCTGGGGAAGGGGGGTCCTGAGGTCACTGGGCAGGCTTCAGAGAGCTGGCCCAGAGCTGCCGTGGCTGGGGAGGGGAAGGCAGCAGTTGTGTTTCTTGTTCTGTGGCTGCTGGGCGTGGTCACTGGGAACCTCCAGGGATGCTGCAGGGTGCCAACGGACAGCAAGTGTCCAGCCTGGCTTGTGGCAGCAGGTGGCCTGCGTGTGGCCACCAGCCGGTGGGCTCCCTCCTGGAGCTGGTGTGGGCTGTCCTGTGGAGGCCTGCTCCGAGGCCGGGTTGGGACCTTCATTGGCAATGTAGAGGGGTGAGAACCCTTCCTAGGCTGAGTCGGAAGGTCTCCTTGAGTTGCTCTTCCCATTAGGGCCATCCTGGCTCCCATGTGGTGGCGAGCTGGCCCTCAGAGCAGGGTGGGGCCGTCTGTCCTGCATCCTGGCTCTCAGACCAGCTCCCCCCGCCCCTGCCACCGTAAAGGCAGAGCCCACAGTGGGGATGAACAGGCCAGGGAGCTGCCTCCAGCAGGGTCCCGCACCCGCCAGCTCTCTTAGCCCCCAGGAAGACTTCCCCAGCCTGCAGCTCCTGGGCCTGGGCCTCCACAGCTTTCACTGCTGTCAGCCGCTTGTCCGGGGCTCTGGAAAGGCTTGCAGGCTCACGCCACCCTAACACCCAAGTTTGCTCATGGGGCTGGACACGGGTGGGTGGTGGCAGGTCTGGGCTCTGAAGCTGTCCTTGTTACACCACAAAATGGTCAGAAGCGTGGGGAGTGGTCATACATCTGGTCACACATCTGTGGCCTGTGTCTCCAGCAGGCCCACCCTAGTCAGGGCCAGGAAAAGCCAGAAAGCTTGGCTCCTTTGTTCTGGGCCAGGATTGTGTCAGAAATGCTGTGCGTGGGGGAGCAAGGCCCTGTGCTCCCTTCACCCAAGGAGCCGGCACCCGGGGAGGACCAGGACATGAAGTGATGCGGGTCCCCATCTGAGACCCGGGGTGCTAGGGGAGGCTTCAGAAGAGAGCCCTCTGGAAGGGTCTGAGGGCCATCCCCTCAGCCGCCCTGAGGCCTGGGTGGGGCCGCTGCAAGGTCCCTGGCTCCTGCGTCCAGGATGAGGTTGAACTCAGGACCTTCCTTCATGAACCCCAGGCCAAGGACTGTCTCCCAAGAGCCCCTCGTCTGGCCTGCTCCCTGCCTAAGTGTGGGTCTGAGAGAGATAGTCAAGGTTTCCCTGGGGTGGGCGCAGCAAGCCATCTGGGTTTGGGGTACAGGTGAGAAAGCAGGAGCTATAGGGTGGGCCCATCCTGGGCACTGACCCTAACCAGGGGAGTCAGGAGAGCCAGCATGTGCCCTCCTTGCCCACTACCTTGAGGGGGTCACAGGTAGGCTATACTACCCTGGCAGTGTGGCCCAGGTAGGCAGGATAGGGTGGCGAGGGCCTGGCCTCAGTGTGGGTCCCCCATTCCCCCAGCTCCCTCAGAAAAGGCAGTGGGTCTGCCCCAGAGCCCTCAAAGGAGTCCCTGTTGGAAAAGTGCCATCTCTTCCATGTATCCCCCATCCCATGGCGACAGCCATGTCTGCCTGGGAGCCTTGGGGATGGGAACTATGGGGAGGCCAGGAATCTGCCTTCTGCTTGGCCAGAGCTGCTGCTGCTGACAAGGCCCGGAGGGTCAGGACAGGACTGCGCAGGCCGGGCGGGGGCAGCAGGGAGGGCACTCACCTGGACTCCACTTTGCAGCCTCGCCTCTGAGCAGTGGGAGGAGACACCCAAGACACCTGCGGGTGCTCCCAGCCACCAGCAGCTTCCAAGGCCGGCCTCGGGAGAGGCCACAGCCAAGGCCAGCAGCCCGCCGGAGGAGGGAGGCAGCTGTGTGGACCAAGGTAGTCCAGAGGTGGCGGCAGTGGTCATGGGTCAGGTGGACCTGTGCTCTGGCGCACCGCGCCCATGTGATCCGATTGTGTCTCGGGAGTACAGGGCTTGTCCCACTTTACGCAGAGCTGGGGTGTGGGGACAAGGGACCCAGACAGGCCCTGATGCTCCCTGAGCCCCTAGAGGTGCAGCGCTGAGCTGCCCCCGCTGCCGGCAAGGGCAGGCCCGGGTGTTACTGGGCAGGTTGGGGCACAGACCTGCGTGTGCAGCCCTGCTGAGGCGGCAAGAGGGTGGAGCCAGGTTCGGGTGTGTCCTGCCGTAGACGTGGCCAGGACTCCCAGCTCGTTCAGGGCTGAGGCCCTGCTGGGAGCATGGTGTGGGGCAGAGTGGCTGACATGACCCTGGCCCTTCCTGGTCCCCACGGTCCCCTCGTTTGCTGTCATCCTGCTGGGAAGAATCCTGGCAGAGTCGCACCTGCCCCCCACCCTGCGCTTTCTGGCCCCCGGCAGAGCCGTGTGGCCCCAGCCTATACCATGTTCTGCCCGGTGTCCCCCCCCCCCCGGGTCTGTGTCCTTCTCTGTACCGTGACGGGGCAGTCAGAGGTGACAGAGTCAGATCCACAAACAGCATGGCCTCCACACTAGTGGGGCATTCTCCCAAGCTCCAGAGGCAGAGATGAGAAGCCGTGCTGTCTTCTGTCACCCTGGGGGGGCTTTCCTGCCTCCTACAGCTCCTGGTGGCTTCGTATGTCCCCAGCATGGCCACGTCACTCCAGCCCTGTCCATCTCCAGCAACTGTGGAGTAAGGGCTGCCCAGTTCTAGGTGGTCGTGCCAGGAGGTCCTCAGCTCAATTCCATCTGCAAAGAGCCCATTTCCAAAGGACAGCCCCTTCCCAGGGCTTGGGACACACCTTTGGGACTTCCTTTCTACAGGTGGCCTGAGAGGAGGCTATGACAGCTGTTCCCTCCCACTCTAAGGAGCTGCTCCTTGGCCAGCTCTGCGCAGGCCGCCTCTGCCCTCCTGCCTGGCCCTGGCCTTCCTGTGTCTCACGCTTCCCCCAGTGACAGTGACCCACTTGTAGATAGACTGTGGGCAGGGCACCCCTGGGCTCCTCCCTGGACAGTGCCACAGTCTAAAGAGCACAGGGTAGAGGTGGCCTCTCTGGGGTACCAGCACCTTGGTCAGAGGGGGCGTCGGGTAGCTGACCACACACTCAGCAGGGGAGGCAGGCACAGCCGAGGGGGTAGTGCTAGGAGAGGCATGGGGCCCCAGAGGTGGGGACGTGGGTGCATGGAGCTGGGGGCTCCCTGGAGGGAGGGGCGATGGACTGTGGCGCTGAGCCTGTCCTAGCAGCTGTGACCCCAGGACATGTCTTCTAGAGCCTTGCAACCCTCACGTGGGCCATCTTCACTCACACTCGCTGGAGCCTGGACAGCTGCTGAGCTCCGCCTGTCCTGTATGCAAGTCCCTGGGAAGCCCTTTCTGCACCCCTGCCTGAGTGGGGTCCCTGTCCTGCCTGCGCTGCTGGGTTTTAGTTGGGACCTTGGCACCCACGTGTGCTTGCTTCTGCGTTGTGGCGGGTCTCCGCATCATTGCGGGCTCGGCACCCCCTGCCTGGGGGCAGCTCCTGCAGCCCTGGGTATCTTTCCTCCTGTCTTGTTGATGCAGACCCTCCAGGCAGAGGGGGACACCCCTGCAGCTCAGCTTGCGGTGCAGGCGGCACCAGAGCCCCCCGCAGGTAAGACCCCGGGAAGTGGCCTGTGCTCCAGCGCTGTGCAGCTCTTGCAGGGAGCCTCCTCCCCTCCAGAAAATCCAGCCTCAGACTAGGGAGAACCCTGAGGAGAGCTGAGAAGACAGGCCCTGGCGGCTCCCCGGCCCACCTGCAGACCCCGTCACAGCTGGAAGACGGGGCGGCTCCATGTCCTGTGGGAGATGGTGCGGCTGCGCCTCCGGGGAGATTAAAACCTAAATTTGTAACTTGCTCTGATTGTTTTATCTGGAACGCATTTTAAAGTATTGGGAAATCAGCGTTGCCAGAAGCGTCTTTTGTGCCAATGTGAGTGGGGTTTGTGGGGGTTAAATTCTTTGCTTTCTGAACCTCTGCTTAGGCTGCAGCCTCCAGGGCTCATCGCTGGTCTTTGGGGGGGTTGCGGGCAAGACAGTCACAGCTCAGGTGCTCTGGTAGTCCGTGGTCGGTCGTGGCAGCCACCGAACCCAGAGAGGTGTGGTCCAGTGGCGGGTCTTGGTGCCCAGAGGCAACCTCAGAACTCCCCACTGCTAGGTCTCAGCTCCGGCTTCCAAAGTCCCTTAGTGTTCCTCTCCGGAGCAGGATAGATACATTGTCACTCGTGAGTCCATGGGGCAGAGGCCCAAGATAGCCAAACCTCAGGGTGGAGGGGTGGGGTGGGGAGGTCAGACCACCAGGTGGGCATCGGGGCTGCTGGAGTAGACATTCGGCTGAAGCCTTTTGGCTGAGAGCTTTGGTGCTGCTGCCAGTGGCCTGTGTACTGGCCATACATCCTGGGGGCTGGCCAGGTGCTGTCCCCACTTGGGGACCCTCGCTCCCTCTTGGGGTGAATGTGCTCCTCATTCCCACCTCACCGATGAGGTGCTGAGGGCAGGAATGTGTGTGTGTTGAGGGGGAGTCACAGAGGTGGACAGTAAGTTTGGCACTTGCCCAGGGCAGCCTGACAGCTGCTGCTCTCTGGGGGAGCCCCGGGCCCTTCCTGTGGGGCCCCGTCACGTCCATTTCACCAAGGCCACGGGCCAGAGCTTGGGAATCATGCTGGCCTTAAAGCTCCGGGTCCTGACAGCCCCCAGGGCCAAGGTGGACACAGATCTAGGAAGGTGGGCCCACATCAGTGTCCAGGCCAGGAGGAGACGGGGAGAGGAACAGCCTGGCAAGGGTTTCCAGTCTCCTTCTAGAGATTTGCCCGGAAGTAGGGAATGAGGTGCCTAAATTTAAAGTGGTTTTCTTGAAGCCTCTCTCTGGAGCTTCTGGCCGGTAGCCACCCTTGGTGTCACTGTGTCCTCACACAGACTGAAGGCCACACAGCGGTGCTGCACGCCCTTGACTCTTCAGAATTTGCCATGGGCCCCAGGACTCCATACACCCCTCCTGATGCCCCTTTCGTGTGAAAGCACTGGCTCTACTTTTGCCTGCAGGGGACTCTAAGACTCAGGCCGGAGCCCACCGGGCTGAGAAGAGGCCTGCGGCTCCAAGGGATGGCCCTGCACATGACTGCCAGGGACAGCACCTGCAACGCCCGGGAGCAGATGGTCCTCACGGTCCCCAGGAAGCAAGTGTGAGTCAAGGTGTGGCCCCTGCTGTCCACACTCCTAGGAGTTCTGGCCCAGCTGTGTGGCCTTGGGACACCTCATGCCCATCCTGTGCGGGAGTGGGTGGGGGTGGCCCCTCTCGAGAGGTTCCCTGAGATGTGCAGACTCTCTGGGGCTCACCCTAAGACTCCACACCTTGAGACCACCACACATGGGCAGTGGCTGGTGAGTGGGACTGAGTGACCCTGTTCAGCAGGGTGGCCTTGGCTCCTCACAGAGTGCTGGAGGGCGGGCTTCCACGGCAGCTCACGGACGTGGCCACCCCTGACCTACCACTTCTCCAACACATTCCCAGCAGACAGCAGAAGAAAGCACATGCCAAGCTGGACTATGCGTCACCGAGAGCCCCATGGGGGAGCCCCTGGAAGTGGAGAGCAGGTCACCCAGTGAGCAGAGGTGCGGGGCTACAGACAGGGGTGGGACCCCAAGGTGTGGAGACGGGCTTGGCCCCTCCCAGTGTGGCCCAGCCGGTGTCCCCCTTCCTTCTGGCAAGAGAGGTGTTGCCCACTGAGATGGTGGGGCAGCAGCGTTGGGTGCAACAGTGGGCCCTCTGAGCTCTCTGGGGTGCCCCATGTGCCCCTGCATTCTGTGGGGACCAAGGCCAGATGGCGTCCAAAGTCAGGCCTCCTGGGGAGTCCAGATGGTGGGAGGTGACCGGCAGGGAGGCAAGAGTGGCGTTGTTGGTTGAACCTATGTGTCCCTGGCTGGAAGCTAGGAGGTTGGGAGGACAGGTCCCCTCCCAGGGCCACTCTGGGACCCGTCTACCATGTGCTTACAGGACAGAGACCTGTCAGCAGGACAGCAGCATCCCACTGGCTGCCTCCCCAGGTGATGCCCTCCTCCTACCTCCAGAGTCCTGGGCCAGGTCAGGGACCCTGGAGTCTCTACACAAGGCTCGCTCCAGGCCAGGTGCTAGATCCAAGCCAGGTTTTTCCTGCAGTGCCCCGCGGTGCCCTCCCTTCTTACTGCCCACCTAGGGCTGCCAGGTGTGGTGAGCACCACAGCCCAGTGCACCTGGGTCCACCCTGTGGCAGGGGGATGGTGCCCAGCATGACCACAGCCACTGCGCCGGAGGCTGGGTCCCCAGATTCGGGCTGTACACACTGGGAACCCCATGCGAGTGGGGCGGCTGGGGCCCAAGATGCTGGCGCCGGCCTGCTCTCTGCCTTGCTTGGGATCCTGGTTTTGAGTTGCTGGCCGTGGGAGCCTCGGGAGTGGCCTGGTTCAAGGACGCAGAATGTGACAGCCTTTGGATGTCCCCAAATTCTCCCTCTCGGCAGCTCCTGTGGCTTTGAAGAAGGAGGCACACCCCACCCAGCCTAGGCCTGCCACCCCCGTGCACCCTGGCTCCGAACTTGCCACTGGGCTTTCCTGGAAGTCTTCAGGTTCCCTGGCATCACCCCCTCTGTCCTCGGCAGACTCTGGGAGTGGCCTGTCCTGCTCTTCCCTCCAAGAGTTTCGGAAAGCCACAGCCATCCTGGTCCAGCTTTCTGACAGCTCCCTCTCCCTGTCCAGCCCTGAGGCTGAGGGCAGTGTGGGCACCGGCCCCAGCTGGTCAGAGGAGCTGTCTGCTCACGGGGACTTTGGCCCACCCGCATCTTGGGGGCTGCGGCAGGGTGACCCTCAGCCAGGTTCTGTTTCTGGGGGTTCCGGGCCAGTGACCCAGCAGAGGCTTGAATGTGGCCAGGCTGCCCCCTCGCTTGGCGCTCCTGGGGAGGCAGCCTCGGCAGAGAACTCCATCCCAAAGCGGAGCTCCCTGCAGGCAGAGTGGCCACCACCTCCCCAAGACGCCAGTTCTCCAAGGTCCGGGTCGGAGCTATCAGATGCCTCCAGCCAAATTTGGGATGAGGACATTGGGGAGGACCTGCCAGAGCCTGGCCGCGGTGCCCAGCCCTGCTCTGGGAGTGCCTTGCCTCCTGGCTGTTCCAGCTGGGAGCGCAGCATGGCTTTGACCACCTCTGGCCCAGGGCAGGGGCAGGCACCTTCTGGAGCCAGCTGGAGCCTGGGTGGTGGGTCGAACACAGGGAGCCCCAAGCAGGTGTCTTCTGAGGCCACCTCCACTGGTGACGTAGGCCTGTCACTGTCATTTCCTCCAGGGACCTCTGCATCCGAAAGGGCTCGCTGCTGGGAGAGGCCCCAGGGCCTGAGCCTATCCTCTGGAAGGAGCCCCCCACAGGCCTCTGCAAGGCCTGAGGTGCCCTGTGGGCTGGCATCTCCTGTGGCTAAGGGCCAGGCAGCTGGGCGTGCAGGGCATGGGACCCCTCAGGGCCCAGAGCAAGCAGGCCCCCCACATGGCGCTGGCTTCCAGGTGGAGATCCCGCCCCCTGTGCACAAGGAGTGGCATTATGGCAGTGGGACACTCCCAGGTGCCCTGTCCTGGGATGCCCGCCTCCTGCCACCGCCTCCCCCTCCCCATACAGACAGTGATGAGGATGAGGCCCAGCCCTGCCCTGACGACTTCCCTTCCCCACCCCAAGAGGCCATGGCTCCCCAAGACTCCCTGGAGGAGGACACCTCCATCACCGAGGACTTGTCCTTGTCCGAGGAGGCCCTGCGGCAGGCTCCGTCGCTGGGTCCCCAGGAGTTGGGGCTCTGCCTGAAGGCACCCTGGCCATGCCGAGACCCCGATAGTCAACAGGCTGGGTCAGGGTCCACAATAGAGACTCAGGCCTCCGGTGGTCAGTGGTCAGAACAGGTCACCTGGCCAGAGTCGCCCTTGGGTGTAGGGGTAGGCAGTGTCCATGGGGGACTCCCAAGGGCACCGGCACAGCCCTTGCTCCCATCTCGAGTAGCCTGTGCTGCTGGGGAGGGTCTGCCCAGACTATTGGGGGCCAGTGACCCCAGTGTGGTCAGTGTGGGGCTCTGCGCCCTCACTGAAGCCCCAGGCCAGTGCGTGAGGCCCCAGGAAGGGCTGCGGCGCTTTGCGAGTGCTCTGCGCCAGGGAGGCTCGGGCACCCCTGCCAGCCCTTCCCCAGGCCCAGTGCCCTTGGTGGCCCGTGGCCAGGCGGGGTCCCCTGGGCACACTGGTGAGGAGGGTGCAGAAGGCCTGGCCTGCTGGGCAGAGGACTCCCTGGGCAAGGAGCTGCGCCCAGGGAAGCAATCGGCCACGGGCCACGGGCCACTGGGCACCTGCTCTAATCTCATGGGCACAGAGAGGGATGGGGCTGTGGTCCTGGTGTCTACCCAGCTCACCCAGAGGATCCTGTTGGACTCCATGGCTGCGCTGGCCCCTGGGGGAAGCCCCTAGACTCTGGGGTGTCACAGTGTGTGTGTGTGTGTGTGTGTGTGTACGTGTGTACGTGTGCATGTGCGCACACATACAAGAACCTCCCGGAGAGCTAGCCCCTCCCTCCTGGGGTAGCCGGGTCAGGTGAGTGGCCATCCGTGGCCGGCTGTGCGGGAAGCCATCTGACGGGGTGTCCGTTGTCTAGGAGTTCTCGAGGCCCTGACCTACGTCAGAGGCCAGTGTGGTGGATGCTTCTGGGCCACGCAGAGGCTGCTGCTCTGGGCGGGGCGAGGAGGCCACCACGGTGGGCACAGAGGAAAGTGGGAGCCAACCAGGCAGGCAGGGCGAGGACAGGAAGAGCCAGGGCGTGTGGAGCTCCCGGGGCTGAGTGCAGAGAGGACTCGAGGGGTGGCAGCTTGGGCCTGGAGGCCACTTCAGCCCTGACCAGCACGGCTCGGGGCTCGTCCCCTTGGCTGGGGTCACTTCCGGCACTGTGGACGTCTCCTGGTCTCCAGTGGTCTCACTGTCTCCCACGCCCCCTCTTTTCTCGGTATCCCCTCAAGGCCACCCTGCCTCCTTCGTGTCCCGGCGGGCTCCATATCCAGTGCCCCTGAGTGGTGCTGTCCTGTGTCCCCTTTTCAGAGGTGCCCACCTTTCTCAGGACGTGTCCAGTGGAAAGGCCTTCACAGCAGAAGCAGCCTCCAGATCTGTTTTCTGATTTCCAGCCGGGTCTCCTGGAGGCTGTGACGGGAGCTCTCCAGGCTGCGCTCCATTCCTGTAGCAGAGCACGTGGGCGTGCGCACGCGCGCGTGTGCATGTGTGCGGGCATCGTGTGTCACTTACCTTGCAGTGAATCTCACTACTCATCCTCCATCTGCTCCTCGGTGCATCTGTCTGCCTGTCTGTTGTCCGTCCCCTGACCTTTACCAGCTCGCCTCTTAGTCGTTACAAATGGCGCTGAGGTTGGGCGCAAGCCTGTGTGTAATCCCAGCTACTGCAGAGGCAGGATGGCTGCAAGGTCAAGGCCAGCCTGGACCAGTTAGTGAAACCTTATCTCAAATAAAAGTGCTAAGAGGGCTGAGGGTGTAGCTCAGTGGTACAGCGTTGGCCTGGCTTGTGGGAGGCCCTGGGCCCCAGCCCCAGAAGGTCAGAAAGGAAGACAACCAGAAAGCCGAGGGTGGTGAGGCATGTCCACAATCCCAGCACGCAGGAGGCCGAAGCAGGGGAATCACGAATCGCTTGAGTCCAAGGCCAGCTTGGGCTACACAGTCAAGACCAGCCTGAACTATACGTGCAGTGGGAAAACCCCAAGAATGATGGAATCAAAAGACAACCAGAACCCCAAATGTGCTTCTAAGTAATTTGTAGCTCTGGCTGCCACGGGTGTTACGCGAGAGGGCCAGGGTGCAGGGAGAGCCTTTGCAGGCGGCCGCTGACACACTTGAAAACACCACGTGGTGCCCAGGAATATGTATGACTTCCGTGCTTTTCTGGATCAGCTCGAATTAGTTTTTAAAAACCCACTTGAATAAAGATTCTAGACTATGAAAGGATTGTCCTCAGGAAATTGCTGCTTTCCGCCCTCCCACTTCTGGATTGTCTGGTTTCCATGGGTAACGCTACATTTTAAGCACTTTCTGTTCAGACATAATCGCATAGTCCGAAGCTTACCTGCTGAAGCTGTACACACACTTGTAGCACCCTTGCATTCTGAGTAATTCATGTGCAGCCCCTTCACTTCTCAGATTAGCTTTCCTCCTGGGTCCAGGTTGGCGGACAGCGCTGGCCTTGGGGACAGCAGAGTCCAGTACTGACCCGCAGGTCTCTGTCCCCCCTCTCGGGCTCGGATCTCCCAGCTGACAGACAGGGGTCCTTAGCCTGACTGACTTGGGAGCCGGGGCCCGAGCTTCCCGCCCTGTGCAGTTTCATTTTCATGAGCGCATGCCTGCAGTACACCCAAGCACATTCCCTGCGGGGAGTGGCCATGCAGACGAAGGGACACATATCAGACCACGTCCTCCCCTTCTTTTCCCCCTCCCTCCATGTCGGTCCCCTTCCTATCTCCTCGTTCCTGGTCCCCATCCCTCCTCCTCTTTATACTTTGGGCGTCACATAGAGAAGCCACGAGGCACGGAACCTTGTGCATCTGACTTCTCAAGCGAGCTCGTGGTCAGAGGACGTGGAGTTGCCAGTGCCCTCTGCCCTTTGCTCCAGTGAGGCACCCTTGGGACACCTCTGGGGAGGGGCAGGGCTCCTACCAGAGAGCTCCTCATGGACCACGACCTGCCAGGCCTCAGCGACAGCGCTCGGCTCACGGGCCTTTCTGCACATAAGGACAATCTCATCCAGGGAGGAGCCAGCCACGGGGCCACCTGACTGTCCCGACTTTCCCCGGCAGATGGTCTTGGGTCCAGTGGGGGGAAGTTGTCCCCTATGTATGTGACTTCACATTTTAAGCTGTAGCTGTCTTACTGATTCTAGTTTTCTGAACAAATTAGTCTGTAATTTTTTTTTCTATTTACTCCTGACCCTTTTGGATTTATGAGGCTGTGTGAGAGAAATTATGTATTTTACACACACGTGTTCAGCGCAGCAATAAATCTCCTACATCAAAAACCTGCAGATTTGCCTCAAATTCAATACCAAAACCTAATCTCGTCGTTTAGGGCTGTTGCTAAGGACTCTGCAGTGGTGGGGTGCACACGTGGGAGAGCTGGGGTCTCCCCAGCATGGCCTGCCTGGGGCCTGGCAGGCACATCACACTGCCAGTCATTGTTGGCTTCGGTGCAGTGCCCTTGACGGGAGGCCTGGAGCATAAACTAATGAGAAGCCAGGCCTCACCTCCTGGGCCAGCCTGGAGGGAGCTGCAGCCGGAAAACGGCTGTGGGGGGCGGAGGAAAAGTATATCCATCGAAGGTGCTGAACACATTTTATGTCCCGAGGTGTGCCGAGCCCGGCTCCAGCATCAGATTTGGTGACCCACCCTCCAGGCTCCCGGGCTCAGTAAACATTCAGCCCAATAAATCTTGACACCAGTCTCAGGAGAAGTCACCATCTTCCATAGAAAATGGTTATTTCTCCGTTAAGCCCCACGTTTAATTTCCAGTGATCTGTCTCTCTTTGTATCCTGCTTATTGCCTCCCTCCTGCATAAGAAAGCCATGCTGAAAGGGCCAGCAAGATCGCTCAGCAGACCAAGCGCCTGCTTAGGAAAGCGCAGGGACTGGGGTTTAATCCCTGGTACCGCATGCCACGCTGGCCCCCACTCTCAGATGTGCTGAGTGCACACCTGGAATCCCAGCACTGGGAGGCTGAAAACAGGAGCATCACTATGAGGCTGGGCTACATAGTGAGACCCTATACCAAATACAGAGAATTTTTTTTAAAAAAGACAAGAAAACCATCCTGTGACCAGCCTTTATGCCCCACATCCCAAGTCGCCAAAATAGCCTCTCAGGACTTCAGATTCCTGTCTCTGCATAGCCACTCCATACCCCATGCAAAGGCCACCCCAGCAGTCTACACAGAGTGGTAGCCTTGTACTGCTGGGTGCTGTGTCCACTGCTGCCCTCAGAAATTCTTGGGATGAAAGACAATAGAGAGGGCCAGCCAAATAACTCAGCAGATTAAAGTGCCTGCAAGCAGGCTCAGGGGACCGGGGTTCCATCCTCAGGCCTGCCTCGCTGGCCCTGCCCCCGGGGCAATTGAGACTGGGCTTGGTGGCGCGCCTGTCATCCCAGCTCTTGGGAGGCTGTAAACAGGCGGATCACTACGAATCCGATCTAGTAGTGAGACCCTGAACACCCTGTAGACCCTTCCCTAAAATACAAAAAAAGAAAGAAAGAAAGACAATGCAGGTTAAAGAAGAGGAGTCAGGAAAGCGAAAGCTGAGGCCAGGCGGAGCCCTCCCTCCAGATGGGAGAAAGCAGCTTCTCAAGGCCCGCAGCACATTTATTTATACACTCAGCAGGTGAGTGTCGCATGACACCCTCTGCCTGGCAACCTGCTTGCTCGCAGTGCCTCAGGTTTTCCAAGCTGGAACAGCTTGTTCTCGTGGGGCCTCGGGCGCTCCACACGCAGGATCATCGTGGGTCTTGGGCTGCGGCCGCTGCGGCACTGGGGGACATCATGGCGCCTGTGTGCGTTCACCGGGGTCTGGCCGGTGGGGCCGGGAGCTGGGCAGGCGCACTTGCCTTCCCAGCGGGGCTGGTCCTGGGCCTAAAATTGCCTGTGCCGGCCAAGCCAGGCTCAGGGAGTCTCTCCCATGCAGCGCCCTAAGTGTGTGTTTCTGGGACCCTAAGAAACACACAGAGCTCGTCGGTTTCCAGGTCTGTCCTGTTTGCCCACACCCCGGTACCGTACTGTCAAGCTGCCTCCCTGCACTGCCCCCAACCAGCGTCTCCCTTCACCCCAGCCAAGGCCCCTCCCTGATGGCCCAAGGACAGGCGGAAACACAAGGTGCCATCCCCCGCCCCTCGGGCTTTCCCTCAGGTGTGCCCATCAGGGTGGCATCACGGCACAGCGTGGCATCTGCCTACGCCAGAGCCACGTTTCTATCTGCAGCTGCCGGAGCCCCCGCTGCTCCTCCTCAGGAGGGTGTGGCAGCCTCAGCCCTAGGCCTTCCTGGCAGCCTCTCCTCAGAGCTCTACAGGGCTTCCCGGTTCTCCTACCTGACCTGCTGTGCTGCTCCCCGAGAGCGCAACCCCTCCACCTCCAGGGCCTGCCGCCAGGGCCGCCTCCCTCACCTCCTCCTCTGCCCACCCCCATCCTCTTCCTCGAGCTGCTACGGGCTTTTGTGCCTCATTTGGAGACCCAGAGTGTTAGGCTGGCTCTCTCCACGCCTTGTTTCCAGGCCTTCACACAGAGCAGAGATCAGACAAGGGCAGCCAGGAAGGAGTAGTCAGTGCAGAGCACAGGGACAGTGACGGGATGGGGTACTGCCTCGGATCGTCACACCCAGGGGTTCAACCTTCACACCAGCTGAGCCACATTCTCAGTCTCACTGGGAACCACAGGGCAGACACCACAGAGGCAGCACAACACAGCGCCCTCCTGGGTAAAAGTCACCAAGAACCCGAAGGTGGCCCGGCCATGTGGGCTCCAGAGGGTTGCTCCTTTCTTTGTGTTTTGGTCAGTTTTGAACCTTGATGTTATGTAAAAACCAGGAACAGGGGCTGGTGAGATGGCTCAGTGGTCTAAAGCACCTACTTAGAACAAGCTAAGCTAAACAAAGCACAGGGACCGCGGTTCAATCCCCCAGCACCACATGCCAGCCAGCCCCGCCCCCTGGTGGGCTGAGCTGGCCACACACACACACACAATAAATAAATATTAAAAAAAAAAAAAAAAACAGGAACAGCAATCAAAATATCAGGTCTCCCACGCACAAGAGAGCAGGTCGTGTGGGGGACACGCACCTTGAGGCTGTTGCAGGGATTTCAGGTGAGCTGCAAAGTGCATGGAGAACTGCAATGGGTTAACTGAATTCTGTGCTTTAACTGTGGGAAATTATTAGGAAAATCCTTGTGCTTCCTGTTATCTACCCTAAGGCGTGAGTTCTCCCTCCCTACTCAAGGCTGTTCAGCAGTAACTGTTTCTTGCCAAGGCTGCAAGCCGA